TTACAGCCCCCTGTGTGCCACTATCAATCTGTGTTCAGTTTTGCGCTAACTAGCTGAAAAGAAACACTCAACATTTATTTAGGTTTTGGTTGTTGTTTTAAATTAGTGGTTTAATTACTGAACTAGTTCATCCCAGAGACAGATGAAGTAAAAAGTGGGTATGAAATCAGGTGGCTAATATAAGCATTTGCAGGTATGGGACTGAAGGTAGCCCATTTCTAGGTATCATTTATCTAGTTGAGGAGTGGCAGCCTCAAGTCAGGAATCTTTGAAGTCTTGGGGCACCACTGCAGTACAAAGATAATGGGAAAGTAAATTCCAGGTATCTTCTCTTTCACCTTCTGTTGTTGCAAAGACCTGTATTCCATCCCTGCTTTTGGTGTGTTTTAGTATCATCAATAATTTGTAGAGTAACATACAGCATTAGGTTCATGTCTAAAGTGACAGTGCATTGGCTTCACACCTTTGTGAGCCAGAAGCATTCTGTGCCTCCCTTTCATTTCTGGCTTAATGGTAGTTGTCAAAAGCAGCAACCGAAATAAGATTTAAGGCTCTTCTGAAAAACTCCTTAAATCTGTGCTAGTTTTCATTGAGCTTTGATTTTGCTCATTTTAAAATATTTTTCGAAATTTGAACACTTTGGCAATTCATGGATTTTAATTTTTTTACCCAAATGGCTGTAGTGAAATTGGCTAAAGCCTGGTGATCCTATAGAAAAACTGGCTGCTTCCCAAATTCAAAGCTCTATTATTTTTTTTTATAGAGCTATCAATAATGAAACATATCTTCTGATACCATTGATATGTTCAGAAAAGCTGAGGCTGTGGTGAGTTGGTCTTTTGTTTTTATGTCCTGTATTTGCTCTAGGCCACTGTCTTGTTGAGGAAGACTTTTTGCAGCCATAGTAATTAAAAAACAAAACAAAGCAAAAAATCCAAACTAAACAGGTTGAGATGTGGGAGTTTAAAAACAAACAATGAAGACACCATTTTTTTTAGAAGGAAGTCCTTTGACTGCCTATGTACTGGAGGCCATGGGAAAGGGGAGGACAACTCTGCCTGTTAGGAAACCTTCTGATCCTAGTGTCTTTGCCCGTGTCCTGGAAAGGGCGAACAAAATCCACTGCCTCTAGTTAGAAGCTGTCTCTATTCTTTAAGTAATACATACTTATATGCAAAAGCTGTGTTACAGAAGATAAATTGTATTTTAATTTCTTATGTTTACTTGTGTGTGTTTGTACGGATTAAGGTTTTGATTTTTTTTTGGTGCAGTTTTTTTTCACAAGACTTCTGAATTGATTTCACAGATGATAGCCCAAAACCTAGGAGTCTCAGATACCTTCTGAGATCCATTTTAACAACCATAGAATTTAGTTACCCAATTTCATAGGGTTTTAGTTCACTTTCCAGTATAAAAGGACAGCTTTTTCAGATGTGATATAAATCTGAATGGTACCATTTAATCAGTCTGTAAAGCACTTCTGGATAAATCTAGCTTTGTGTCTCATGTGATGATAGCATTTGTATTTGTGCTTCAGTTCTTGATTGGTGCTTCTGAATGCTGTTGAAATGCAATAAAGCTCAGAAACAGTTTTGTAGGTTCAATAAATTTAGAAGCAGGTAAATTAAACTTGAGTTTTCATTTTTGAGAATACTATTACAATGAAATGCTAAATTCTTCAATGAGAGGTGCCAAATGCGATTCAGCAATATTTTGACATTTGAGGAAATATGCTTGTAACATTATTGTAATAGAATTATAAATGGAAATATAATTGTAAAGAGTACTGGTATAATTCATTAAGGGTTAATACAGCATGGACATTCACACTGAAATAAAAAAAGTCCCCTGGAAGCTGTAATTGTGCTAGTAAACTTAACAGTATAGATAAACCGGAAGTCATGAGTGATACATGCATGGTCTTACATTATTTGGTGTCAGAGCCCTTTAGCAAGAATTTCTAAGTATGTGCAGATGTAAGTATATTTCAGTTTTTTTCTTGAATAGGATGGCTGTGTTCATCCCTTCCCTTTCTACCTTCATTCCTAAAGGACTTGTCAGCATGAAGCTGATGTAGAAAGTATTGAGAGCAAATCAATATATGAAGATGTATGAAATATCACGCAATGGTGTTGAATGGGGCATCTCCTGCTCTCTTTTAGGTTACCTTTTAGCATTTGGAGCTGTGAGACTTGCTGGGAAAGGAATCCTGTCTGCTGGTTCTGGTGATGGACACCACCATCTCTAGAAAGCAATTTTTGTGTATTGAGAGAAGAAACAGAGGCTGAAGAAGCACACTTAAAGTCTTCAATTTTGTCATTTGGCTGGTATTAGAAACTAAAAAGCTCGTATTAGAAACTAAAAAGCAGCAGTAGACGGAGGCAAAAGGTTTTCTTGCTCATTAGGCTGCTAGGCTCAAATAAATGTTTTTCACAAGAATGTTTGCTAAATTACTAAATTACTTATGATTTTGCTTTGGGAGGACTTGTGTTGTCATCTATATAAATACATTTTGCAGCAAAAGCAAGTATTTTCCCTAATGCATAGTACGATTTGAGTACTCTTCTGTGGCCGCATTCCTTTTTACCTTTATTATCATACTTTCCTGTTAGTTAGGCAGAAGTGTCCTGACACGGATAGTACTCACCCTTCCCAAACTGGACTTCTGAAGCATCACTTTGTGCAGAGTATGCCTTTTTCCAGCTGAAAGTGTAGCTATTGTACCTGTTAGTTGTCAAAAACACTACCATATTGAATGTTTTTCCACCAGATTTTTTGCATACCAGTATTCATCTACAATTGGACTTCATGATAGACTTCATTTACCTGGCCTGTTCTTGAATTATAGCACACCGCAGAGTATATAGTTCAGTCCTGATTTACAAAGAGACCAAGACTAAATTTAGTGGAAGTCTTTAGTGTAGTTTCTGTTTTAATGCTTTTTAACGTCTGTTACAAAAATGGGGAATGGGATTTAATTAGACTATGTAGAATTGTAGAATGAATTGAGAAGCAAAAATAGGGAAACTTAAGAGTAAGTTTCTCATTAAGTGTTTGCATGATAGTGAAGATCTTCACAGGGTAGTTGTCTTCTGAAAGAAGTTCAGGTGGGACAGTATTGGTGGTTTTTTTCCCCTTTTAAATGTATGCAATTAGGAAACCTCCATGAAGAAAAAAAACCCCACAGAACCCTAGTGTTGGCTAGTACAGGCTTGGCTGCAAGATTCCCAAGGGTTTTTTGGAACTATTCTGTGAAAGTGTCTGGTTCTATGTGTATGTACATGCAAAAAATAAGGTTTTTCCCTAGCAAATTTTAAGTCTCTGGTTTGTTTTCTGAAGGCTGTATCTGGTAAATTCCAGAGTTGCAGAACAACTTTTGCTTTCTGATAGTCAAACTGTTTCCAGCTCTGTTAAGGAGCTTTGTTAAAGCTTGCTAGTCCAGTAAAATTGACATTTAAACCTTTTTCTTTTGATTTTTAGGTCAAAGCCAATCCCTTTTGTCACTGACAGCAAGAAAATTAGTTGTCCGCTGAAATTATTTCAACTCTTTTCGTGTATATTGAGGTAGGAGTTCAGCCAGCTTTACCTCAATATGATCCTGCTACATTTTGTTGATAATCTTACTATCCTTCTGTGTCAGTTTGAAGAAGGTTTGAAAATCTGTAAATTTATGGGTGATGGTTCTAGTGAGATACTTGATACTAATCATCTGGTCTTAAATAGTTCTAGAGCTTGAACTAGCTAGATCACATGGGTGAGTTAACAGAAATCCATTATTTTGCTACTCTTTAACTGATGAAAATCAGGATTTCTACAAAAGACATTATTTCATAACCTCTTCGTTTCAAATTCCTTCCACCAGCCTGTTACATGATGCCTGTTATCTGCTGTGAGCAGAGTATTAATGGTTTTTATGTAAGAACACTAAAAAGACAATTTATTTCTTTATCAGGTAGCAGTAGGGAGGAGGATGAATGAAAATCAAGTAAATTAATTACTAATGCATAAATGCAGCTGTAAAATAATTGTATACATCAGTGTTGGACTTTTTTTCTGCAAGTTATACACAGTGAGATACAATTGTGTACAAAAGCAGTAGAAGTTCTTAAATATTTAATGCAAAAGGCATTGAGACTGCAGACAAAAACTAACATGTGCTTTGCTGGCTATTTATTTACTGTAAAATTTAATCTCTAATTGTGACCCCACTTATTACTAGCCCATTGAACCAGATGTGTTGTGACTAGTGTTTTGTCACATGGAACAGTAAAAATAGTAGCTTGGGTAATCTGCATCATAATTGAGGGCTTTTTGAACTCCAATTTAGCATCTTTCCCACACGCCCATTCTAAAAATGTTGTCTGTTTTCTGTTGGGTTTTTAAAATTATTTTTTTAAACTGTACTCATCTTTACTTCTCAGAAGATACTTGTGTAATGTCATTTTTTGTTGTAGAGTTCCAAACAGGTTACAGATTTTATTTATTAAGAAACCTAATCTTAATTGAGTGTGCATTTGAAAATACTCAATTTTTTGAATCACATAGCTGTGTGTTTATCCATGTATATGTATGCGTATATAAATAAGTAAGTGTATATGTGTGTATAGTCCAGCCCTTAAAATTTAGGTGTGCTTAGCAATTTATCAGCTTTACAATTCAATCTTTGCTTTCAGATATGGTTGTACATTTTAGGATAATAGTTCACCTGTGGTTTTCTGTATTTGCCACAGTTCCCTTCGCTAGTGTTAATTAACTGCTTTTCTTTCTTCCTAATACAAATATAGATCACAATGTTCCATTCCTGCCCCCCCACCCCAACTCATTTTCGGTGTGTTTTTTTTTTCCTTTTTGTTATAATCTGTGGCTTGGAAACAGTTTCTCAGTAAGTTACATTTAAGTTTGTTTTTCTTCTAGGAGGTATTGGAGCTGTAATTATTCATCTGCTTCTCCTAGTCTTTTGAAAAGTGACTAAATGCAACTGAGTCAGATTGTCTGTTGGAATGAAGTGGCTGGGAGAATCCAAGAACATGGTGATGAATGGCAGGAGAAGTGGAAGCAAGTCATCTAATGACCATGCACAGAACAAGACCAAATTGCAGCATGCAGGAAAGGAAAATCCAAAGACAGGCAAAAATGGAGTTGAGAGAAGATCAAGCAGATGTATGTACATTTTTTAAGTGGCCTAGTGCTCTATGTGATTCTTCTAGCAATTTGCAAGTCAGGCTTTGTCTTGTCTTAATTCATTGAAGGAGGTTTGCATTCAGCATGTAGCTGTATCATCAGAAGTATTAATTATGTTTGTTGGATGTATTAGCTCACTTCAGGAATATAGATCTCTTCAAATCAGTTTAAAAGTTGAGAATAACTGGATGTAAAATATTTTTTTAACTGATGTAAGCATAAAATAATGATTGGTACTAAATGAGAACTAGTGCAATTGGGCATGGATAAGTTGAGTTCCTAGCCAAACTTCTAGTAATACACATGTAGAAATAAACACCATTGTGAACAAAGTCACATGTATCAATGTGATTATGAAACAGTTTCAAGGAACATGGATTTTATTTTCTTATTGGTTTGGAGTGAACAACGAAATACAGAGTATGTCCTTTATTCAGATTTTGGGGAAATCAGGTTTGAAATTTTCATGGCTTCATCATGTTTATAGGTCAGAAATCTTAGGCAAGCATGACTGAAGAGATGCTTGTAGCTAGTGAGGGGAAGAAAGAAGGAAACCAAAATTTAAAACATCCATAAAATATATTCAGAAATATGTTTTCTATTGGCTACTACATAAATGAACAAAAGCAGGCATGAGAAATTAACTGTGCTCCTTCTTCAGTTATTTTATTGCCTTCCTAAATTGTTCTACATTTTTTGGTCTCCAGTCTGTGGTTGTCTGTCCCCAAGCATAGCTGGGCTTTATGACATTCCTTACAGGATACCTGATTTATGCTCTCTCACTTGCAGGTAGCAGTGCTTCAGGATTTGAGGGTCAAAGTCGTTACGTGCCTTCCTCTGGAATGTCTGCCAAGGAACTGTGTGAAAATGATGACCTAGCAACTAGTTTGGTTCTTGATCCCTATTTAGGTTTTCAGACACACAAAATGAATACTAGGTAACTTGTCTTTATTTTTCTAGAAAATAATCAGTCTTAGTTGATGTAAACAGAGCAAAACTGTGGAATTTCTTGCATGTTTATGAAAGTCTGAAAAAATGGCAATTCATGAGTAGCTTCCATCTCTTAAACAGGGTTGCATGTGACACTGGAACACAGTTTTGTAGCAGTGTGCGTTTGTAACACTGTCATAGGTGTTTCTTTTAGGTCTTATGTGTGTTCATGCCATAGTGCAGGTTGTTAACAGACCTAGCTTAACCAGTTCACTAAATTACAAGGCTTAAATCCATTGGTAGTTTGAAATATTTCAATAACAGAAATTAGGGTTTGGGAACTTTTCTGTTTATATCATGTACCTGAGTACACACACTTAACAGGTACTCTTAGAACATCACAAGAAAGATACAGTTCCTGAGCACTTCAGTGTTTGTGCCACTTGATCTTAAGTTCTAGCAGGTCCCTGCTTAAGGAATGCTACTCAGACATGTCTGTATATATAAGATAAATTAACATGCACACTGGGAACTTGCTTACCAGAATTGCGTGTACTTTTGCATTGTTATGCACCTGTCTGAATATATCTGGTATAAATTCAGTGTGGTTTTAGGGTTTAGTTGTTGTATGCTTCTTCTTATCTTACAGACATTATCACTGATATGCTATAGATATCTGTTAAGCTTTTATTTGCATACAGGATCTGCATTGCTAGTTTAATTGAAAACCTGTATATAAATTAAAGTTTCTAAGGTCAGGAATTGCGTGCTTATTTTTGTACAATAATAATGGGCAGCAAATTATGGGAAACAGCCTGCTCAACCCTTCAAACTCTTGCTATGGCTATTTTTTAAAAAAATATTTACCAGTGCAGCATGATCACATAACCAGGGGATCAGTTAAGTAGATTCTTGTATGTATGTAACAGGCTGATTGCTTCAAAAATGACTGCTAGATTAATTGGTGTTGCCACATAACATAAATGGTTGCTAGTATAGCAGCATGAGTTTTGCATGAAGTGGCAGCACTGTGGTCCTAATAACTGTAAAGACTTACTTGGAAGGTATTTGTATTTTCTGCTGGAGCGTGCAACATCCGTATCTGAGGAATGCTTGATTTTTTCCTGTTCACTCCATGCTGTTGGTTGCAATAGCACCTTGTACTCCAAGCAGTGTCTAGGTAGGTGCTCTTATGGTACAGTTCAGAGTGTCTTTGTATTTCCAGCAGTTAATCAAGATAAATATATATGCTCAAAAGACTTCTTTGCATGAATGGTAGTCTACAGGTTATGCCGAGGTAGTTAATTCTTATGCTTTTTGCTAAGGAAATTATGTATTCATTGTTTAATAGTTGGAGAAGCTACTTTTGTAAATGTTGTTTTCTGCTGATAATGTTTTCAACACCTGAAATAAATTTTAATTACTAATTTGAATCAAAAGACTACACAAAGGCTATCATCATGTATTTCTTCCTTTCTCAGACTTGGAGAACAGTTACAGGCAGTCTTCAAGGACAATAGTTAATAATCTTGGAGCACTATGGGAAATACTTAGGTGAGGCTTACAACTTTTACCAGAAACACATCATCTTGCCTCTTTCATAATGTCCTATTGAGAGAATTTCTGTTGTTGCAATTAATTAAAATAAAGGCATCAGTGTAGTTCTTGTTTATCTTTTTGGTATAGTGATGACATCTGCTTGTTATTGTAGCTATGTTGATGACATTGTCTTTCTTCCATCTAGTAAGCTGTAGTCTTTTAGAGCTCCTGAGGCTTATTGGTGTTGTATGGCTTTGAGGAAAGGCAAGGGGGAAAGCAAATATTAAAAGACTAGACTGTTTTCAAAATATCAGATGTCGGTACCCAAGTACATGATTGTAGTAGCAACTAAGATCTACGACTTATGTTTAGGTATCTTCTGCTTTAGTGTGATGAGGTGGTATTAGGTACATAGTTTGTGTTTTGAGGTGCAATTAATATAAAAGAGTAATTTATGATGGCAAGCAAATATTTCCTGTTCCCTTGTCCTGATTTATTTGAGGATGTACTGTGGAAGTGACTGTGCCAGCATTCTGCTTTGTTATTGGAGACACCTAAGAGGTTTGTATTTTTGGAACTAGCAGCCCAGTGTAAGTTGATGCCCACTTACTGAAGTTGTACTTTACTTTTTCTCTGAAAGCCAAGTCTGTATTTTTTTATGTATTCTACATAAGCACTTCTTATACTTCATTCATACCTTCAGTTGAAGAGTTTGTGAAGACCTCTTGTTTTGCCCAGAGTATATTGATTAGAGAAAAATAACTCATAGCTTCCTAGTAAAATACCTAGATTATTGTTGTAACGTTTTTATTTTCCATCTTCTTTTACTATGTTAGTGATCTTCTAGTAGAGTGGTGGCAAAACATGTTTGTGTTTTTCTTTGGGGCTTTTTTTGTGTTTTCGTTTTTGGTGTTTTGTTGTTGGGTTTTTTTTTTTTATAGGGGCCATAAAAATCTTAAGTCCTGCAATTCCTGAATGCCCTCACTCTGAATAACTGGGCTATTAGCTTTGTAAACTGTCTAGTCTTTAGTGTCTAGAAGAGTTGAAGACTAGTTCTCTAAAATATTACATTCAGATCCCCCAGTGAGTTTGTCCAGTGTTCCTTTGAAATACCTTCTTGTCACCAGGGATTTGATGAACAGCATAAAATATAGCTCTGGAAATGTCTTCAGTGGCTTTACCCAAAAGTAACTTTTTTTCATATTCTTAGATTTTCAAAAGAAAGCAGGTTGTTTTCAAAGCTTCTGTCCCTCTTTACAGACCTGTGGTCATTCTTTTGTCTAATTGGTAGCTCTTATCTCGACAAAACACCAGGTTAGCAGTTAATTAGAAAAAACAAACACAAACCCAAAAAATCAGGAAAATGTATGTTAGGAATTACTATCTCGTTAAGTATACCTGTTCTCAGAGGTTTTGTTGCTTGTACAAATCCTTTTATGTCCAATCTTTTTTTTGTGACAAAGGCTGTCTTGGCTGTAATATTAGTCTTGCATGCCTGTTCTTTCTGTAAAAATAAAAAGTGTTATTACTTCCTGACTTGAAAGTTGTCTAACACTAGAGATTAAAAATGACACTTGTTAAGCAAAAATTTGCTTGGCTTTTTACATCTCTTGTTTTCAGCTGCTTTTCACTAAGCTGAGCACTGAATCTTGAAGTTGTATGCCTTATTGGCCAATCCATGCTTTTATTATTTCACATACAAATGTGTTAGTATTTTAAATTTTAAATTTTAAAAATGTGTTAGTATTTTTAAATTTTAAAGTATTTAAATTTTAAATCTTTAAAAGACTCAAGCCAGACTCCAGACTGCTGATGTTACCTGTCACTATTGTTTCCTGGTTCGCAGCATCATGATAGAGAATACTGAAAGCAGTTCCAGTTACTTTTGAAATTTGCAAGTGATTTAGGAAGTGAGAAACATTGTCAGTTTTAGGAAAATCTAGGGGTGTTTGCAAACTCCAGTTTGTTGCTTTCAGGGAAGTTACAAACTGTCATGTGGCGTGGGTGGTTTTATCTGATAATGGGACACTAAAGGACCATGCTTTAAGAATTTCCATGTTTTCTATAACAAATGTGAAGTGTATGAGGATGATGTACAGGAAGCTGCTTTCTCTCAACACTGCACTAAGAGCTATGGTGTAAGCATCAGTCATTCCTGAACTTAGCAGGGTTATTTCACTCTTTTTCCCTTGAAGTCACTTGAGGCAGTAAAGAGTCAGTTGGAGCAATGAAGACAAAAAAAGGAAAGCAGTTTTATATCACTTGAATTTGTCGATCTGTGCTGAATCTGTCCTGTGCTCCTTAGCTCACTTCAATATAATAATTAAAGGGCTCAGTTTTCATCTTGAATAGTGTCTGGAGGTAGAGCAAGTAATGTGGCTTCTGCTAAGTGAGGTTACATGGGTGTATTGTTCAATAAACCTAAGTGTTGGTGCTGTGGAGGTATTCCATTAGAGCTACATAGCTCTTATGTAGTGACACCCAGTTTCAAAATGAATATTTTACTTTCTTCAAATCTCAGTATCTATGTACTTGCCAAAATGATTGTTTGATGTTTAAAATCTGCTTTCTCAGTTTTTTTTACATTTCTGCTGATAACTTAATTCAGTGAAGTCCTTTAGCCTGTTTCTCATTGTGTACCTTCACTACGTGTAATCACAAGCAGTGATTACATTGGAGCTAAATGTTTTGCTGCTGCTGAACATTTCTGATTTAAAAAAAAATCTCAACCAAAAAATCCCCCCAAACTCCCTCAAAAAAACAAACCGCACACAGCTCCCCCCAACCAAAAAACACTGTCTTATTCTTACACAGTTTTTTTCAGTTGCACATTTAACTTTAATAAAGTATTATATCTTCAAAAGATGGAGTGGCTTGCATCCAGTAGTCACAGGAACTGCTAAATTAAATTTACCATGTAGAGTGTCAGAATAGGATTGAAAAAAGCATTGGGGAAGGTTTTGTTTCCCCTATGCATATTTTTAAAAAGCATTTATTTGTTAACTCTAAGGAGAAAGAAATTACGTGGCTGTTAAAATTTCTTTTACTTCTAATATAAACTGTATTGGAGTTTTGCCCACACTGCTCTGTGTATAGTTTGAGTTCAAGAAATTTGAAGTAATGGGGATTATTATTGGCCCACTGAGGAATCAGTTATAAACTGTATTGGAGTTTTGCCCACACTGCTCTGTGTATAGTTTGAGTTCAAGAAATTTGAAGTAATGGGGATTATTATTGGCCCACTGAGGAATCAGTTGGGAGCACTGGTGACAGAGGATATAAAGAAGGCAGAAGTGCTGAACACCTTCTTTGCCTCTGTCTTTACTCCTGCAGGATTTCCCCATGAGCCCCAGATTCATATAGCCCCAGAAGAAGTCAAGATAGAGGAGGAGTTTGACATGGTAGATGAGGATTGGGTTAGGGATCAGTTGAGTAATCTGGACATCCATAAATCAATGGGTCCAGATGGAATGCACCCAAGGGTGCTGAGGGAGCTGGCGGAGGTCATTGCTAGGCCACTCTCCATCATCTTCAGTAAGTCATGGGTAACAGGAGAGGTGCCCGAGGACTGGAGGATAGCAAATGTCACACCAGTCTACAAGAAGGGCAAGAAGGAGGATGGGTAACTATAGACCGGTCAGCCTCACCTCCATCCCTGGAAAGGTGATGGAACAATTTGTTCTTGCACACCGTCTCCCACAGCATCCTTGTGGATAAGTTGATCAGGTATGGGTTTGGTGACCAGGAAGTGAGGTGGATTAGGAACTGGTTGAAAGGAAGGAGTCAGAGAGTTGTAGTCAATGGGGTAGAATCTGGTTGGAGGTGTGTTACTAGTGGAGTCCCACAAGGGTCGGTGCTGGGACCGGTGTTGTTCAACATCTTCATCAACGACCTGGATGAGGGTATAGAATGTACCCTCAGCAAGTTTGCTGATGACACTAAGCTGGGAGGAGTGGCTGACACACCAGAAGGCTGTGCTGCCATTCAGAGAGACTTAGATAGGTTGGAGAGTTGGGCGGGGAGAAACATGATGAAATTCAACAAGGGGAAGTGCAGAGTTTTACATTTGGGGAAGAACAACACCATGTCCCAGTACAGGTTGGGGGCTGAACTGCTGGAGAGTAGTGTAGGTGAAAGAGACCTGGGGGTCCTGGTAGACAGGAGGATGACCATGAGCCAGCAATGTGCCCTTGTGGCCAAGAAGGCCAATGGCATCCTGGGGTGTATTAGAAAGGGTGTGGTTAGTAGGTCAAGAGAGGTTCTCCTCCCCCTCTATTCTGCATTGGTGAGGCCACATCTGGAGTATTGTGTCCAGTTCTGGGCCCCTCAGTTCAAGAAGGACAGGGAACTGCTTGAAAGAGTCCAGCGCAGAGCTACGAAGATGATTAGGGGAGTGGAACATCTCCCTTATGAGGAAAGGCTGAGGGAGCTGGGTCTCTTTAGCTTGGAGAAAAGGAGACTGAGGGGTGACCTCATCAATGTTTACAAATATGTAAGGGGTGAGTGTCAGGGAGATGGAGTTAGGCTTTTCTCAGTGATGACCAGTGATAGGACAAGGGGTAATGGGTGCAAATTGGAGCATAGGAGGTTCAAGGTGAATATCCGAAAATTTTTTTTTACTGTGAGAGTGACAGAGCCCTGGAACAGGCTGCCCAGGGAGGTTGTGGAGTCTCCTTCACTGGAGACATTCAAAACCCACCTGGATGCATTCCTGTGTGATGTGCTCTAGGTGACCCTGCTCTGGTTGGACTAGATGATCTTTCGAGGTCCCTTCCAACCCCTAGGATTCTATGATTCTATGATTATCTTCATTAAAAATGCAGTTTTAAACTTTTGCTTTTAAAGAACCTGTTTGTTGGGGTTTTTTTTCCCTACATGGCAACATTGCAGGTTAAACACAGAGCAGGTTGATTTTTATGTAACTGGCTTTTAATTGAGATACGTGTACTACTGGGTTGGGCAGGGGGAAGCCAGAATGTATGTTAACTGAATAAATTTCTTCCATTTACCAGAACTAGATTATTTTCAACTTCTGTTAAGCTGTCTTGAATGCTTAACAGCCTTGCAGTTTTATCTTTTGATTCTGAATCTCTGGTATTAGATACACAGTAATTTGCTGGTTTTACCCAGCTACTTAAATGAAAATACCATCCAGACAAGGAGCCTGTTGTTAAGAGGTAATGGGATTCTATGTTCTGATAAATTCGCTCTTCTTTGGTGTTCCCTAGTTGCAAGTTAAGAAATAGGTTTAGAATAGGTAACTTTATCATGCACTAGTACACTATGTAGCATTCCATACTGGATCTCTGGCAGAATCCTTTTTGTTCACTGCTCTCAGTGACTGAAACTAAGCAAGGTACTGTGCTTCTGAACTTACCAGAAACTCTCCTTTAACTTCCTTTATAGGCAAGCATCTCACTGACCTTTGGCTTTATACCTTGGAGTTTCAAGATTCTTTAAGTATTCCTGAGGTAAGATAAACTTGAGAGAGAGAGAGCCGTGCTTCCTGAAGCCATTTTCCTTTGTCTTCCTTATTGACACCACCTCAGTTTGTTCTTATCTGGTATAACATCATCTTCTAGCTGATTTTGAAATTGCAGTAGCTTTTCTGGATCTTGTTGACTAGGGTAAAATAAATATTTCCTAGGGAAGCGTGAAAAGTTTATATTCCGCAGCTTGTCAGGAAGAAGGGCTTGTACTACTTCTTTAACAATACTGTGATAGCTGAATTCTTAATTCTTGGCTTACTTTTAACAATAGACTGTTTGAGGGAAGCTGTGAGATCTGACCTACGAAGCTGTATGTAGGGTGGCTTAAACACTAGAGCTTCCAGTTTCCATGATGGAATCTTACAAAGGTACTGTTCATAGAGGCAAACCAGAAGTCAAGATAAACAATTCTGATTTTAATTGACTCTGTTTAGAGACTGGATTAGCTGGTTTGTTTTGTTTCTTTTTTCTGTGCTCTTTCTCTTTTTCTTCTTTGAACTAGTCTCCTATTTTACTGACATTTAAAAGCCAGTTTCTTTGGCTCAGGTTATATATATATACATTTAGCTGTGGGTTCTTTCCAGGCTCTCTTTATAATGCTGCTCAGAAACGTTCATGTAGACTCTTCCAGTAGATGTGTAGACTTTTTTTTTTAATGTTGTGTACCTGAGGAAGCCTTGTAACACCAAAATGATGGTATTCATGGTTGCCTGTCAAAACTGAGTGGCTTTTTGGTAAATAGTGCTGGGAAAGACTAGTGAATAAACAGCTGTATCATTATACTCCTGGGAGAACTGTCTATCAGTGGACCCTCAAATTCTTAAGGAACACTCCACATTTAGGCTTTCATGGCATATTGGCTTCTTCAGTGTCTCAAATCAGAAGGTACCTTTTAAAGTATATATGGAGATACACCTGTGAAACTGCTGAAGCCTTCATGAGGAGTCTGGGCTGTAAGTGTTCTGGTTTAGCTCATAGGCTTTATATGTTCTTAGTGCAGTTTACATGTAGTGTTGAACAACTCACTAGCGCGGGCTCAGGGTGCAAAGTGTCATTCTGTTTCATTGATTTGGAAACACTTTAAGTTAAATGCTGTGCATCACAATACTAGTTTCCAGCATCTTTCCATGTACTTGTAGACACTTCTTGCTTTTTCAGCCTTCTGTTTATATTTTCTCTGTATCTCTATCTTGTCACTGTGTAAAAAAGAACAGTGCGTTGATAAAAATGCTGCAGGAGGTCCTAGGTATTTTTTAAACCTTGGATGCTGAGAGTTTTGTTCTTTAAAAAAACAAAACAGCTCTTGTTTCAAGTTTGAAATGCCTGGCATACAGTATAATTTTCATCTGACATTTTAATGTTTTGGGGTTTTTACAATCTCTTCACCTCCTAGTTTCCAGCCTTCTTTTTGGCCTTTTCAAGACTTGGGTATAAGCTAAATGTTCTGCTTCTCAGGAATGATATTACTTGAGTTTCTGCTAGGCATTTAAAGGAATGCCACTGGGAGTGATATGCCTGAGAAAAGAAGCCACAGAAACACGTGCTGAATATGATCAGTGGTGGTATGCAGGTGACTTTTAAATGGCTGAGGATAGATTCTGAACTATCTAAGGTAGTTAGGTGGACATCTGATCAGTCTCTGAGAATGGTATGTTGTGTGAAAGACCTAAAATTTTAAGTGTCACCTTGCTGCTTTGTATTTGTCATGATTTGTAATACAATTGGAACTATGTTGGGAAGTTTCTGATTGAAACTGAAAATGAGAGCAAGTCCTATTCTGAAATACATTCAGTTCATGCTATATAATTTTAAATTCCCTTAATGTCTGAGGAAACCCTGAGAGTTATAACTGCCAAATCTGGGAGAAGCCTTTTTTTTTCTGGTGAGAATTGGGAGATACTCTTCTTGTATCTGACTGGCAAGTTGAGGGAGACTTTGCTGTGTTACAGCAGAAAAATAACAACAGTCACATAATCTGTAGCATGAAGGGAATTTTCTGCTATGATGAGGTCTCGGCAGCTTATTAGGCATTTAGCTTTGGGAAGATGAAATAGGTATATGCCTTAGTAAATAACTGGCTTTGAAACATCTTGACATGGTACTTACTGCAATTCTGAGTGGGCATCTATTTCTTGGCTAACTTGCTATCTTGTTAGATGTTATTCCAGTCAGAAGAAAACTTACCTAATGTCTTCTCAGAACTATTTATCTTCTCTGGGAGCTCATAGGTTTATGCCAATTATTTTTGCCATATTCAGAAAGATCTCTCGCTTGGTCATTATAATAAAAGGAAGTTCATTAGACACAGAGAATGTAGAGGTGTGTAAAAGCAGTAGCCATGGAACACTGATAATCTCCACTGCTGCTGGAACTGATACTGTTGTCTTTATTTTATCAGAAGAATAAATACAGCATTTTACTTACAATGAAGGAAATTGAATACTTAATCATTATTAGTTACTTTACATCGGGGTGTGCAACACTTGAGGTGTTTTGTTTTCTTCATACAAGTTGCTTACAAGAAGCAAATCTTGTTTGATCATCTGTAAGAAGTTACTTGCAGCATTTAGCATTCTAAGATGAGGATAAGACAAGTGATACCTTAATTTTAAAAACTGTGAGGGAGTTTGAGGTTTCCTTCCACCAGCTTCAGGAATTTATTTCCCCTTGTTTACTGTTGTCATCAAATACAGACTTCATGTGGTAAGTAAGAGGAAATAAAATCAGATTGGTAACACACTTCAGGCAACAAGTAATGGGTCTTAGTCTTATGGATTTACTCAAAAGCTGTTAGTTTATTTAACACTTTTGTTTTATGCTGTGTGAGTTGTAAACGGAGTTGCGCTGCTTTTCATGACCCTAAAAAATGTTATCTTTGTGAAGAGTCCCCTGAGGTGTGTCATATGCTTAGAAGTACACACACCTCACCTCTCCTCCAAAACAAAGTATTTATAGGTATGTGCTCAAAGGCAAATTATAGAGATTCAACATAATCTGTAATCAAGTTCTGCTTTCCCTTGATGATTGTGCAAGTGAGAAATGGAGCTTCTGCTTCTTGCAGTCAAAGTTTTCTTCTGTAACTAGTTTTTGTCTGTTGAAGATATTAAGAATAGTTTTTCTTAAATCTCAAGGTTTGGGAAGAAGGTGGGATTCTCTGCTAATGAATAGGGATTTATTTTCTTACTCATGATTTTCAGCTCCCTGTTTTTTGTAGCCAGTATTTCGGGGAAATTTTTATGATCGCACTAACTTGCGGAACTTCAGTCTTCCACAGATGTAGCATCTGTGCTATGTGTTACTATTTATAGTAACTGGTGTAGTCATTAAGAGGTTGTTCTATATGAATGCAAATGTTATGTTTGCAATCTACAGAAACTTACATAGTGGATTTGTGAATATAGTAAGTCTTTGGATTGGGCGAAAGTTGATTTTAAATTACTTAAGATAGTTGCACATTTTTTCTGTTTTGTCATTTCTTATTTAGTCTTTTTCAGTTACGCAGACTGTTTGCTCCCTATTTAAAAAAAATAAAATAATGTATGTGAGGTTGTAAAGGGCTTAAATTTAAAATCTCACAGAGACAGCCCACATGCCCCCACCCCCAGCTACAAAAGCTGAAACTGTGTGTAGATTCCTTGATACTACTGTTAACTAGTAATCTTACAGCTGGATTTTTTTGCATATGCACTTTGAATAATTGCAAATTTATTAGAAAAGTAAGGACAGTAGCACTTCCATTATGCTAGTTCTTCAGCTGCTTTGTTCTGAATGATAGGCATTGAAAACAGAAAAATATTATTCTGTTGGTTAATCTTGGCAGAAATTTTTTTTATAAATAAATTATGCTTCTGTATTCTGTTGGTTAATATTAACAGAGATTTCTTTTACAAATAAATTGTCCTCGAAATGGAGGGTTTTAAAGTTCCAAGTAGTACACTTGGCTTTACCTTATCTCTACCATTACCTCAGTAAATGAGGGTGTGTGATTTGAGGACATCATGGCCATTTTTTTATGCTACGAGTTAAATACTTTATGGCTAGCAAAATAACTCTGCTGCAAGTAACTTGAGGAAGAATTGAGACTGAACAGTGGGCTGGAATAGCTTTATTCTTTATTTCAGATTTCGACCTATTAAAGGAAGACAAGAAGAACTAAAAGAGGTGATTGAACGTTTCAAGAAAGATGAGCACTTAGAAAAAGCCTTCAAGTCTTTGACGTCAGGTGACTGGGCCCGGCACTATTTTCTTAACAAGAACAAAATGCAGGAAAGGTTGTTCAAGGAACATGTAGGTGTATTTGTAATTAATGTGCTTTTTCAGATGGTTGAAAGACTTGGAAAATGTAAAAATGTCTTAAGAATGTAGTAGTAGTAAAGGAAAGTAATCCATTGCTGAGTTATGTGGTTTTTTATTTCATTTTTTACAAAAACTGTATTTTGTTTTTTAAAACCCAGCCAGCTTCCCCCTTGCTCCTCCCCAGGCCTCTGCCCCCTTCTTTCAAGTTAACTTACCATTGCTTTATATTTAACAGATAGAAAGGAAAAAATGTTTGCCTTTTTTTCTGTTAGCTTAAGTCATAAGCAGAAGAGATAAGGTCTACTTCCCTAAGACAAGAGTTTTGAAGACTTTTTATTCTTTGGAAGAGTTCTCTTTCTTTTTTTTTTTTTTTCTTTTTTTTTTAACTCGCAGCTATTGTAAATCAAGTTGTGTGACTAAGACAGGTAAAGGAAAATGGAGAAGACTTGCTAATTCAAAATACCTCAGCTGTGAGTATAGTAGCTTTATGTAGGCATGTGACTCCTCTTCCTTCACTTCCCACACCCCAAATCCATTTTCTATATATCATAATGGTTGTTGACTCTCTAAGTTGCAAGAAAATCATAGAATCACAGAATTTTAGGGGTAGGAAGGGACCTGTGGAGATTAGAGTCCAAACCCCCTGCCAAAGCAGTACCACCTCATCCAGACAGGTCTTGAAAGTCTCCAGAGAAGAAGACTCCACAATCTCTCTGAGCAGTCTCTTCCAGTGCTCTGTAACCCTCGCAGTAAATAAGTTTTTCCTCATTTGTTTCCTCATGGTTTTTTACTGAAAAAAACCCCAAACCCCAAACAAAAAAAACAAAACAAAAAAACACACCAACAAAAAAAACCCACCTCTTTCAGGAATAACTGAATTTCACATGCAGCTAGAAGGATTTAGGTCTATTTTAAAGTGTAGAAAAACGTAGGCAGCAAATTGTGCTTTCCCAAAGTGTTTTTTGTGTAAATACAACTGCACTTTCACTAGAAGGAATTAATGCGGCAATCACTGAATTCAGTATCTAGATTTGTCATTGAAATAATATCTTTTTTGGAACTGGAAAGAACAAAATTGGATACTGTAGGTCGTTAGGTTGCAGTGGTTCTTAAAAACATTAGAATATTTTTTGAATGAAAATACTCTGAATTTAGGAAGAAATTAGCCATTTTCTTTGGGCCAATTTTGTACCATTTGAGGCATCTTGTAACTTTTTAAAATTCTTTGTATGGTCACATTATTCTGCAAGAGGATTACTGCAAGTCACTAGCAGGAGTGAAGAAATAAAACTGATGTTATGTGTATAACTGAAATCTATAATCAAGAATGCATTTCAGCAGACATCCCATTGCAGTATCAGTTTTTTGTGTTTTGTTGCAATTCACAGACTCATTTTTATATGAAGTTCCTCATTGCTTTTGTTTTGATTGTAATAGAAAAGTACTGTTTTATTTCATTGCAGGTATTTATTTATTTACGAATGTTTGCAACTGACAGTGGGTTTGAGATACTGCCTTGTAATCGATATTCTTCTGAGCAAAATGGAGCCAAAATTGTTGCAACAAAAGAATGGTAAGAAATGTAGTTTACTGTTGCATTCTATTTCTGCCAATTATTTTGAAAGATTCTAAAAACACATATTTAAAAAGTCTGATTTAGAATTGAAACAGCAACCAGTGAAATACAAGTTGTCTATTTTTACTTGCAAATTAAATTTAATGTTTGTTTTTGCCAAGTACTTAACACACAAAACATGCATCTGTAAGACATTTCTTTGTATATTTGGACATAGCCATACAGTTTCCAGTATATAATGTGTTTTTAAATTCTTTTTTTTCAATCGTGTAATTATTTTCCTCTTAATTATGAGTTGTTGCCATCCTGTGAGAAACACAACCATGTCCAGACTCACATTATACGAAATTTGTTATATAACAAATAATTATGGGGGAAGAAGTTTTACACCTTTGTGAAACTGAGGGGTATTATTTGTGTATCTTGATTGTGCAAGATAAATCTCTCCTGGAAAGGCAAAGCTGGAACCCCAGTATATTTTGCCATTTTGGCACATCTGAGTTTCATTATAAGCATGTGGCAGCACCAGCAGATCTCTGGGTTAATTCAGATTTTAAAATAACTTCTTCCCTTCCTTCGCTCTCTTGTCCCCCCTGTGATTTATATTTGTTTAGCTTTGTGGCAGAACATAGTCATAACAGCACATCTGAGATTATGATACGTGGGCTAGGATTGAGTTCTCAGCATTCTCTAGAAAGGAAGAATTTTGCAAGCCTTTTAAGGCTTGATTTCTGGTTTCTCTCCTTTGTGCGTATATAGTATCTGCATGTTCATCTGTGTCTGAGTAATCTAGGCAAAATTTGGGATGGCCACTGTAGGGAGAAGTGGAAGCAATGTCCTTGTAAGATAATGGAAAAAGTAGAATCATAGAATGTTCTGGGTTGGAAGGAACCTTAAAGATCATCTAGTTCCAACTCTACGTCCATGGGCAGGTGCACCTTCCACTAGACCTGATTGCTCTTAAGTCCCATCCAGCCTGGCCTTGAACACTTCTAGGGATGGGCATCCATAGCTACTCTGAGCAACCTGTTGTAGTGTCTCACCACCCTCACAATAAAGAATTTCTTCCTAGTATCTAATCTCCCCTCTTTCAGTTTGAAACTGTTCCCCCTCGTCCTATCACTCCAAGCCCTTGTAAAAAGTTCCTCCCCAGCTTTCTTGTAGGCCCCGTTCAGATACTGGAAGACTGCTATAAGGTCTGCCTGGAGCCTTCTCTTCTCCAGGCTGAATAATCCCAACTCTCTCAGCCTGTATTCATAGGAGAGGTGGTCCAACCCTCTGATCATCCCAAGTGGTCCTCCTGGATTTACTTCAACGGCTCCATGTCCTACTTATGTTAGGGACCTAAGAACTGGACACAGAGCTCCAGGTGGGATCTCACAAGAGCAGAGTAGAGGTGCAGAATTACTTCCCTCAACCTGCTGGTCACACTTCTGATGCAGCCCAGGATACAGTTGGCTTTCTGGGCTGCAAGCACGCATTGCCAGCTTATGTTGAGCTTCTCATCAACCAAACCCCTGAGTCCTCCGCAGGGCTGTTCTCAATCCATTCTTTGCCCAGCCTGTATGTGTGCTTGGGATTGCCTTGGACCCATGTGCTGGACCTTGCTCTTGGCCTTGTTGAACTTCATGCAGTGTGCTTCTTCCTAGGCTGAGTATGCAGTTCCTCTGATCTGCTATATTTATGATGACAGATTGCGTTTCTGCACATAAAAGTGTCATGGTTCTGTTGTCTTTTGTTGGTTGTCACCTCCCACCTGCTCCTGCCATCCTCCCTTCTCTCCCTTATCCTAAGTGGTCTATTTAAGGGACCAGCTTGATGCTGAATAGCTTGCATGGATTCTGGCCTTTTTTTGAGACAATGCTGGGCCTTTTTTAAGAGGCCGTGGAGTTCAAACATCTTCACTATGCTGTGCTTTCCTGGCCAAAGGCAGTAGTATAAAAAACGCATCTGGAAGAAGTCAAAATGTCTTAAATGCTGGTTGGGAGGGAGCATACACAAATGGAAGCATTGTTTTTGGTTTTAACTGATGTAGAAAATGAAGTAATCAATTCTTGCAAATTTTTGCTTGCAGTCTTAGGAAATTGCAGAAACTATGGTAATGTCTGTCAGAATGGATGTAATTGATTCCATGTAGTAATATAAGAACATTGTTTTCATGTCTGATAAAAGGTCTGCTTAGCCTAATATCCTGTCTTTAACTGAATTAAAACATGAGGTTTGTAGGGATTGAGAAATGCTTTCTCAAACATTTGCTATTAGTGACAACTTTTTGTGAGATCACTTTATGATTTTGGAATATGTATTCTTATTTCTGCTACTCCTTTTACACTAAAGGAAACGAAATGATAAGATAGAACTACTTGTGGGCTGTATTGCTGAACTATCAGAAATGGAAGAAAACATGCTGCTAAGACATGGGGAAAATGACTTCAGTGTCATGTATTCGACACGGAAGAACTGTGCACAACTGTGGCTTGGTCCTGCTGCATTTATCAATCATGGTGAGTAATAAGTGTAGGAAGCATATTAAAGGACATAAGCAATATATATATACATAGCACAGTGTTGTTACGTGTGAACTGGTTGACACAAGACCTTAACAGAAAATGTCTGAATCTGGTATACTGGATTACTGTAGGACAAAATCCTGTTGGGATTGTCCTACACCAGAGCTGGTTTGCTATGAACTGGGAAACTCACAAAAGGCTCTAGGAAATGGTGCCTTTTTACTTTACAGAGTCTTTGGAACTGGCAGCTAAATTAGTGGAGCATCTTGTAGGTTACCTTGAATTCATTGTGAACTTAGTCAACAGTAATGTATTCCTTTGGTTAACTTGTAAAGCTATTTTTAACCTTTTGCACAAAGGTGAACTGATTTTGTTCTATTTGTATGCTTAAGGAAAAGCAGGTAGGATTTAAGACAAATCCTATTACCTTAAAGAGGAGGGAAGCAACATTTGTGATAGCCTAGTGAAGAGTTCAGAAACTAAACCATATCAAAATAGGTATCTCCTTATATCTAGCTTTATGCAATACTAACATAACTCCCAGTATTTAGTTGAGGTTCTACCATTATTGAAGTCAGAGTGAATCCTTATTTTAGATATCTGCAACTATTCATGTTTCAGGTCTTATCAACAGTTAATTGACTTTATCTTTTGGACCTTTTTCAGATTGCAGACCTAACTGTAAGGTAAGCAAGAAATTAAATAAATCAAGCACCCCACATTTTCTCCTGAGATTTTTTTGTCCCTGCACCTTTTCCTCCCCAACTGTTTAAATTTTTCTCACTCAGATACTGTTTAACATTAATGATTAACCTTAACCTTTTTTTTTTTTTTTCCTTCCTGTCATTTGCTTTCACAGTTTGTATCAACGGGCAGAGATACAGCATGTGTGAAAGCTCTAAGAGATATTGAACCTGGAGAAGAAATCTCTTGTTACTATGGAGATGGGTTTTTTGGAGAAAATAATGAATACTGCGAATGTTACACCTGTGAAAGGTATACATTGATGTAAATAAGTTTTAAATGGAATGCATTTTGTGAAACAAAGTCCTTGATTATGGGTACTCATACCCCTGGATACATTACATTTGTTCTCTTCTGCTGGGAATAGTCAACGTCGTTTTCCTCATCTTACTAGAACTTCAGGGTTTCTGTATTCATAGAGATATACTGTTTTGGACAGTACTTGCCTTTATCTGTCTGTCAAACAGTAGCAGCAATGTTGTCATGTTTGTTTTTCCACTGTGCTGTCCAAACTTAGTTTCTTCAGAAAATCAGTTGAAAGAATCTCACAGGTGGTTTTTCCATGTTGAAACTTCCATTCACTATGAGTGTAATTTGTGAGAGCTTTACCTAGTTTCAAGAGGAGGTACAGAGCACCTTCAGTAATTCTGTTACTTTTTGACCTAACCATGGAGAGGAAAAAAACCTATGAAGGACAAAATATTAATAATATTGAGAAACAGCTTAGTGTACTGTAATTATTCTTCCCTTGTTACTAGGAGTGCTATGTTTTTGCTCCAAGTTCCTTTGATTGTTGATTTTTTTTATGTAGTATGAATATACTTTCAGAACAAATGGATTTTGTGCATCCTGACATTTTCACTAACTTGTCATCTTTGTATTTTTAGATTTAAAATATAGCCATTTCATGTAGTTATGTAATATTAACATTAGAAATCTGCTTTTCAGTAACTTCAATATTTCAACAGTTACTTTCAATATTTGCTATGTTACAGCAATCAAAGATGAGGGATTTGAATTTAGGGGAGTTGAGTAAGAAAAAATGTGTCCTTACCAACACTGAAGGAACTTTGTACACCCCCAAAAATAAGTAACACAATTTTGACTGTGCTGTGAAGGGTATTAATTTGTGATGTTAAAATGCTAAACTTTTGAGAATCTATGGGATTTGGGAGCTTTGGGAATGTTAGCACTGTACAAATCTTTTTCTCAAGCCTCCAAAAATCATCACCAAGAAATTCTGCATATCTGTACATCTTGTTAGGTGAGCCTGCTGTTCATTCTAGCAGAGGCAACTAGTCACCAAATATGACATGTCAGAAGATAATTGTGGTTGTTCATAAGCACTATTGCCTTCTCATTGCCTGTTGTTTGTGCTAAGTTCAGCCTAGTATCTTAACCTGTCTGTAATTTGAAGAATTCAAAATAAAACTGAAATAATGCCCTATAGTAAACAAATACCAGTTAATTTGAGAACAAGTATTGTGTCTGCATAATAATTAACATTGTGGAGCTTGAGATCTTGTCTGATTTCTTTGGTGAACTTTTGGTTAAGTTTTGTAGATTTTCTTCCAGTACAACATACTGGAATCGAAACTGAAGTTGTCCTTTAATAGATTATTAATGAATATCAAAGGAATCCAAGTAGTAGTGGCTGAGGTGTAAGTACAGGAACTCTTAATTTTAATCCTTTTTTGTGATTACTTTAAAAGACAAAAAAGTTCTAGGTTTGCTCAGCCATTTCATTTTCATGATAATATAACCTGGAGTCTTTCAGTTACAAAGAAGCATAGAACTATATTTAAATTTTATTCTATTTTCTGCACTTTCCGACTCTTGCTGATGCAGTAACAAGCTTGGTAACTAAGCTGGCATTTTTTTACTAGCATGATGCAATTAGGAAAAATGAAGTTGTTATATTAGCTTAGATAACGGTAGTATTATGAGCTACCGTATTTCATTTTGACCTTTATAATTTTATTATGAAGCAATACTCAAATAGACATAAATCAAGGGAAACCTACTTTTGCAATTATTATTCGTCCCAAGTAATAAATCGAAAGCTTTTCTGCACATCTCTACTAAAATGAGATAAGTATCTAAATAACTTATTAAAGCAGCCCTCAAGATGCTAATCAATTTAGTGGTTACTGGTATTGTTTATCCAAGTATACCTGCGATTCAAACTATTGTATGTGAAACAAAGTTCTAAGTTTATTTTAATAGTTATTAATACATTATTTCCTCTTTTTCATTGTAGACGTGGAACTGGTGCTTTTAAGTCAAGAGTGGGGCTGCCAGCACCTACTCCTGTGATTAATAGTAAATACGGACTGAGAGAAACAGATAAACGACTAAATAGACTTAAAAAGTTGGGTGACAGCAGCAAAAATTCGGACAGCCAGTCTGTCAGCTCTAACACTGATGCAGATACCACTCAGGAAAAAGCTAATGCAAGTAAGTAAAGGGAGTAAAAGCCTGGAGTGCAGGATTAAAGGTTTCATAAAAACATGAAAAACTTTCACCGCAGTGGAATTCTCTTAAAGTTAAGATTAATTTCAGATACTGGTGTTTAGAACTGTACTTTATTGAGGAGTCTGAAGGCAATGTAAATATAAAATTCATTGTTTTCTTTAAGTATTTTAAGAACAATAGGTAGTGTGGTCTTGTTTTGTTTTCTTTATATCAAAAGCAAATAATGTCATATTTCTCTATGTGTCAGTTAAAGTTCAATCAATAGTGTACAGGTATGGTTAGCTATCGCATGGAGTAGTATGGTTTAGGAAAGAAAACATGTCGTTTGAGTTATCTACATTCTGTAGGAAACAGTTTTAAAATAAATACTCCTGGTAGAGATTATTAAACAAATAGAGGTCCTTTAAACTGGGCAGCTTTTAGCTTTGCATATCAAGGTCTGATAGTTCAGGTACCTGTTTTGAAGTGAAAGTGCACAGTTAGTAATCTCAGAAGAAATTGGAAGGGATTTTTGTTTCTTATGCTCTTGACAGACTTCATAGAGTAGTGAGCATCATTTATTTATTTTGCCCTCCCCCTTTCCTTCCCCCATCACCCTCATATAGACAGAATATAAGTAACTGGAACTTTGGCTTAACTAGCTAGCAAATTTGGAGTCACATAAAATATTATGGTTCCATCTGGCTCGTTTCCTGCTATGGTATTAAAAAACCAAACAAAACAAAAACCGCCACCAGCAACAAAAAAACACTTCCCAAAATCTTTTATGATCTCTTTGATTACCAAGCTTTATAGTTGCAACTTTGCTTGGGCAGACGCAATTCCTTTCCTTACCATAGTGAGAGACAACTGGATACCTGAAGCTGTTACAGTTTCAATTTTACAGGTATCTAACTGTTACAGGCTTTTGGTTTGTTGATTTTTTATTTATTTTTTTTTTCACCCCTGTAGAAAAAAAATCTGGGACTAATACTAGAGCATACTCATCTTCAGACTTTGCTGGAATAACACTCAGTGAAAACTGTGGAAAATGTAGGATGGACATATATTTTTTTTAAATGAGTAGAAGAAATTAAGAAAAAAACAAACTTGGTATATTGGGAGTAGTGTTAGGGAAGTGTACCTGGAGTTTAGGTGTACTTTTGACTTGTTTGATAGTTCCTTTCATGTCAGAGTTGCAAGTTAAGCAGTCTTGTGCCTTACTGCATACTGCCTAGCCTGTTTAATGGATTTTGATGAAGTGTTTAAAAAAATTAGGTAACTACAGTATTTAGGAGTGGGGAACTCAGGATAAAGTAGTGGCATAACAGAACCACTTTTTTCTTTTGCAGCTAACAGAAAATCTTCAATTGGCGTAAAAAAGAACAGCAAAAATAGAACATTAACAAGACAGTCTATATCAAGAATTCCAGCATCATCAAATTCTACCTCATCTAAACTAACTCATATAAATAATTCCAGGGTACCAAAGAGACTGAAAAAGCCTGCAAAGCCTTTACTTTCCAAGATAAAGTTGAGAAATCAGTGCAGAAGGCCAGAGCAAAAGAATGCTTCCAGAAAGCTTGAAATGGGAAATTTAGTTCTCAAAGAGCCTAAGGTAGTTTTGTACAAAAACTTGCCCATTAAAAAGGATAAAGAATTGGAGGGACCAGTGAAAGTTGCAGTCACTAGTGGATGCTTAACAAGGCATGCAGCCAGAGAACATAAACTGAATTCTGTGAAAGGTGCTTATGAGCATGGTGATAAACCACCCTGCACATACATAACAAGGAGGTCAATGAGAACAAGAATGAATTTGAAGGAGACCTCTGACATAAAGCTTGAACCAAATATGTTGGATAGCTATAAGAATATTTTGACTGGAAAGCAACCAGACATTTTAGATCAGCACTCTCATGTAATAAACAAAAATGACATGGCACATGGACCATCACATAAAGGGGATATTAGGTGCCAGAAAAATGATGCAGGCATGTCAAAAAAGAAAACTCGACAAGGGAAACTTGTGAAACCATCTGCAAAAATAGAAGAAACCGATACTACGCACAATACACCTGTGAAAGATGAAGTACCAGATTTGATTAGTTCTCAACCAGAGCCTGGAGAGAGGAATAATGTGATGGACACACCTGTTGGTTATAAAGACTGTATCCCTGGATCTGGTGGCTGCTCTGTTGTAACATCTGAAAATTTTAAAGCAAAAGACAGCTTTAGAACTGCAAAAAGTAAAAAGAAAAGGCGAATTACGAGGTATGATGCACAACTTATCCTTGAAAATAGCTCTGGGATTCCTAAACTGACTCTTCGTAGACGCCATGATAGCAGTAGCAAGGCAAATGACCAAGAAAATGATGGAATGAGTTCTTCAAAAATAAGCATCAAATTAAGTAAAGACCATGAAAAAGATAATAATTTATATGTAGCAAAGCTAAATAATGGGTTTAACTCAGGATCAGGCAATAGTTCAACAAAACTAAAAATACAGCTAAAACGAGAGGAAGAAAACAGAGGGATGTACCCTGATGACCTTCATGAAAATGGTATGTGCTGTAGTGAAACTCTCTCCCTGTTGGAGTCAAGGATGGAAGTAGGTGATTATGGTGACTATGAAGAAGAAACAGCTGATGAATCTTCATCAGAAGAGGATGACGAAGAGGAAGATGACTATGATGATGAATTTGATGACTTTATTCCCCTTCCTCCAGCAAAGAGACTAAGGCTTATTGTTGGCAAGGATTCAATAGATATTGATATTTCTTCCAGGAGGAGAGAAGATCAGTCTCTAAGGCTCAATGCATAAGCCTGTTGGTCTTAAGTGATCTGGATGTAATTTTTAAAAAACAAAATAAAATCCACAACAAACAAACAAAACAACAACAAAACGCCAACAAAAAAAACACCGACAAAAATTCCATTTCATTATTCGTCAACTGAAGAATTTTCTGAAAAACTTGGTGGCAGCACTTCTTTATTGTTTATTCACCTATCACATAATATTGTAGAAAAGTGTACAGTATACTGACTTCTTTATTCTGATTTGTGCAGATTTTTATTGTACTTTTTAATAGCCTTCTTATGTGCAATTCTGAGTTATAGTAATGCTTTGTTGTAAAATAAATGCTCAAGCAAAGTTATGAAATTGCATCAAATCTTTCCATGCAGGACAATGAGAATATAGTATGGCTACATAAATACTACTATCAGTAAGAGCAGTAGTTTGCTCTTGCGATATTTGACTAAACAATTAAAAAAAAAAAATCATAGTAGCAGCATATTAAGGTTTTCTAGTATATGTTGATATCACCAGCAATGATCTACAGCTTTTTTGATTTATTTGCTAGATGTTTTTTTTTCCCTCTTGGAGTTTGTCCTTTCAACACTGTATGCTGTCCCAGACGTACTGTTTGTGGCCTTTGTTATAGTAGCAAACCCTTGGTTGGAAGTCAGATTAATTTCTTAAAAAAAAAAGAGAAAAAAATTAAAAGGTGTTGACAATTTGGTGACTTTTTAGTACATTATATGTACCAGGGTAGCAGTATGCAGAATAAAAGTTTGAATATGGTGTATTTATTGCTTGTTATGTAAATTAAACACCTTGTATTTAACACTTTTCAATACTTTTAGATAAAATTGTTCTTTGCAAGAATGATTGGTGCTTATTTTTTCAAGAATTTGCTGTGAAATAATGTGTCTACAACAGGCAACATTTATCCAATGAACTGCAGCTATTCTAAATTGGTTCTTCGTATTTTTCTGTTGCACTTGTAAAATGCTACAAGGAATTTAAAGAAAATCTATTCACTTTAACTTATGATAGTTTTATGAAATTAAAAACAACTAAGTCACAGCTTTTGTTCTGTGGTGACCTATGAATTGTTTGTCTTTTAAGAACCAGTTGTAAAAGACTGAAAAATTATGTATATGTTGTAAATATTTGTGTGTTGTGAGAAATTTTGTCATAAGAAATTGAGATAAATTGCCAGAAGGGTTTTTAAGTTTAGAAATACATCCATGCCAATAAAATAGGAAATTGTAACCCTAGTTTTAAACTCTGCATCTGTTGGAGTTCTTTGCTCATACATAGTCTACTGTATAACAGTGAAGAGCAGCAGGGCAATCTTTAGCTCTTTGGTTTTTAATAAAAGAATGTTAGGAAACTTCTGGGCACAGTGAAGTTATTTCTATGTATAAATCAGTTTACTTATAAGCTATTTCTTTGAAACCAGTATAAAATACAGTTAGTTGACACTCTATAGCATTTTGGTCGATGGTATTTGTGTTTAAACATTAATCCATTATTGAGTAAAGAATTTTTGTATCTAGGGGTGTAGAAACAGAAAGTTGCATTGTAAAACATACTGTTGGATTAGTTGAATCCGCTGTTCACTGCATGGTATTTTCATGTCAAGTCCAACCCTCTGCTGGGAAGAAGAGCTCAAGTTACTTGACCACTGTATTACCCTGTTGTGAAAGCAGAAGTGGAAATGGGTGGGTGAATTTGCATGTGAGCTGATCATAATAGTTTGGCCCATCTCTGACCCTCACAGAAATGAGTAATTTTTTCAAAGAAATCCATCCAAATGCATTTCAGTAATTTGTTAGACTGCAAATCAGATGGTGGCATCTACCTTAGTCCCACTTCCCTTCTGTGTTTTTAGTGTCAAGTTAAACATAGTACTTGCAACTTTGTTTTTACAATAACCAATCTCTGTTACAAGCCGCCTGTGTTTCATGTACAGAGTGTAATTTATTTATTTTTTTAAATGGGTGGACCAGTATGTAATGCAGAGTCTCTCCTGTCAGACCTGGGCTTTTAGTTCACAGAAGACTGAATACAAAAGCTTTACTAAGTATGCTGACATTTGTGAGTATTGAGTAAGCTGTGGTGGATTTTCTTGCGGGTTTTTTAATTGTACTGTATCATATAAAAGTGGTTATTAAAAGATGGGTTACAAGAAAGATAGCTTGCTGTGTAGTAGGAAGTTTACCAGCAAACTGTTGGTGACAAGGAACAATAATACCATTATTTCCTCAAGAATTCACTTGTGTTTTCACTGGGTCGTGTGCCCTGCAAGTGTGTGGCTGTGTAAGTGAAAGATGTAAAGAGTGGAACAGAGCATCAGCATGTTTGCTGTTCATTGCCTCAGAGTATTTACTGTATTGTGTTCTGAGACACAGGTTTCCCTATTTTGCTACATAGTTGTTTTTTCTTGAAAGATTATATCTCTGCTGCTCTTGCTTGTAGTCTTGGTGGTCCTTGTGGAGGTTGATTGGTTTTTAGAAATTGAATTCACTTGGGCATTTGAGGAAAAGGGGGTTGATGCACCAAGTAAATGCTGTCAGTACTTACTGACCAGTATGTTCAAGAGTAAGTTTAAGCATTGCTGAAAAATTGGCAAGATTCCTGCCCTTAGAGGTAGAAGCTGTTTTTCTCAAACAGATGTTCTTTCTAAGTGATAGTTCAGCTTAATGAGAGCTGCTTTTCTTTTTCTCTGTTGGAAATAAGTACAAGTAGCTCTTTGGGTATCAGGAACTCTGGATTGCTCTTTTTCATTGAACAGCCTTCCTTGTCTTGGACAACTTGGAACAAAGCCTTTTAGTCATTTCCACAGTAGACAAGTCTGTAATTATGGCCTGCTACACAGAATTTTCAGCTTACACATGCCTTGAAAATAATTAAATGCGTTTCCCTCGGTCAAACAGGTGAGCAGGGGCTGCACAACCCCAGTATCTTCTGTCTTTCCTCCAGAAAATAATATTTTTTGCCAACATCAATGTGAATTGGCCGATCCTGATGTTTCCCTAACCTGATAATAGGGGAAGATGAATGGGTCACGTGTGAGAACTTGACAACCTGGGTATGTTCCTGGCTGTCCAGATCACAAAGCACAGTGATGTTAATACCTATTTACTGTTGGAGATGCTGCTTAGCCTTTATGTGTCTCATTTCCTAAGATACTTGGTAAGATTCAATGGCAAGGTAGGTTTAGGGTGGCGACAGCAAGACTTACAGCAGATTGAAGAGTTAGAGAAATTACAGAGAGGCTTTGTCAGCTAGTTTTATGTGTAAGAGGTTGTGAGGCTACAGCTAGCAAGGAAATGAAAGACTGGCTGTGGATTTGTGAGCATGCTGGCACGGGCAGTGCATATTGAGCTGCCATGTAGTTGAGGACAGGTTCAGCATGAGCTTTTGAACATTTGGATAGTAGGTGTAACTGTTAGCTGCCTTGTACCTGTGATGTAGTGAGCTACTAGGGTAGGGGCAAAGTTGTAGACTTTTTATAAGAAAAATGAATAGTATTTTGTTACAAAACGAGCGTTAGGGAATTGAGTGGGGTTTTTATTTATTTAATTTAAATATGCAGTGAGCATATAGTAGAAGGAAGCTGCCCTGAGTAGGACAGTAACGTTTCCCGTGTCTTTTTGGAGTAATACAGAAAGGTAGTTTAGATTTGAGGAGGATTGATTTGATTGGAAATAGCCAAATAAGAATCAAGCATCAAGCCTGTTGTACTTCACATGTTCAGGGACATTTCCCTGGGCATTGGGGAATTTATTGAAAATGGCTTGTGCCAAGAAGAAGCAGTGTTTCTGCAAACAGCAGATTGTTGTGGGTGTTACTGCAATATTGTCTGAAATGAGTCCCCCTCTGAGCTAATCAGGCGTGCTCTTTTCTATCTCATCTGCACTCCAGCTATAGTGTGCAAGCAGGCAGATTTGGACTTGAAAAAAGTTGCTGTGGATTCTCTGCAAGATTAATATGCACATTGTGTTGCTGTCCTTTTTTGGTCTATTTTTCAAATGCCTTTTTTTCTTTTTTTTCTCTTTCACCCTATTCCCCCAGTGTATTTACTGGGTATTAGGTATTGTCCCTGTATGTGCTTTGAATGCTTAGCTTGTGTGTAGCTTACTGTTGTATAGAGTTCACAATGCATTGGTTTTATTCAGTTACACTGCCAGCCACTGTATGTTAAACCCACCTGAGGTGCTCCCCAGAGTATGTATTCAGGTGTGTTTCTGGCTCTTTTTTTTTTTTTTTTTTTTTTCTCTGGTTTCTTTTGGTCCTTTTTGCCTGGTGCTGCCAGTGCATGTAAAATAAGCTCAGAAACCTTACTCCTTTGCTCTCTGTATTTGTGTAGTTGGTTGCCCTTTTTAGAATGAAAGGATGAGTATTTGGGAGCTGTGCAGAATAAGACTTCCTAAAAACTAAAAGCAAAGTCAATTAAGCTTGCATTACATTTACTAGTATAATGTGTTTTTCTTAAATTCCCCAGTGATTTTATTTCTTATTTGGGCTAGGTTATAAGTAAACATAAGGCCTTGCTTAATTTCTGTTGCCCCTGCCTAAACTCTTGATTCCACAAGTTAACAAGGTTATGGTAGGTTGTCTTCAAGCATTATTTCATGGCAGCCAACACTAACTATGTATTTGGGTTTTTTTGCTTGTTGTAGCTGCTGCTTTTTGCCACCAAGGGAATCTTTGAGGTAGTCATGCTTGAGGTCACGTACCTTATTTCCACTAATCCTGTGTAATATTTTTATTCATGGAAAGTGTACATGGTGCAAGTCTGTGCTCAGGGAAGCATGTGAACGCCCCTCCTTGCTCACCTTGCCTTCCCAGGTGTGCAACAGGTACAGAGCTCTGAATGTGGAAGGCTAGTCAATGGATGATGTGGATGGATGATGGTCTCTCTATGTAAGAGGTCTTGCCAAGGTCAGAAAGTACTACCCTCCTGTATTGTAACACCTCCATGAGGAAAAAAAAAGTAGCTTGTAATGGAACAAAATCTAGTTGGAGATGAGTGACTAGTGGAGTCCCTCAGGGGTCAGTACTGGGACTGGTACT